AACATTGGTATACAACAGTACATTCGTCACTTCTGAATAGAATTAGAAATAGACATGATAAGCACTGACAGGATAGCCGACATCTGAGTGGTCTATTATACCTCAAAATAATAGAGAATAATAAACTATGGAGAGATACATGAGAAGAGAATATTCATACATTCATATTCCTTTGATTTGAGTCAGTCAGTCAACAAAAACATAGGACTTCGTACGTAGTACATCAGTTCATGTTGCCATACCATATTAGCATAGGGACGTATGTGTCGGTTCAAATCCCATAACAGTAGAGGTAGTAGAAGTGTCAGAAGTCATCGGAAATTTTAGGGTTCGAAGATATTATTCAAGAAGTAGAATCTAGTGAAATAAACTTAAAGAGAAAATGATAAAGTGATGAGGAATTAACAAGTTTAGGATTTAAAAGAAGACAAAGAATGAATGCACTTGCGTCATTGAAAACGATTTTGAGCCATGTCATTCAGGGCATACGTAACACATGTCCCAACCATATCAACTGACGAAGTTCCAATACTTCATCTATTGATATGCAATCCTTACCTACTACTCGTTTCTTAATGGCAGCATTGCTTACTTAGGTGTCCCACAAAACACGAGCAATGCATCTAAGACAGCATCAGGACTTTCAGATACACGAACAGTAACAAGCAACCTACGAATATTTTCTATTCTGACTGGCCATGTGTTAGTTATTTTATGACTAATTGTAGTTATGCCATAACTAACCAATCTGATTGGTCAAGCGCTCACCACGTCATCTAGTCTGACCGATGTATAAACTTTCTTTGTTGTGAATGGTCCATCGATTGAAGGATGTTATCATTTTATTTATATTGCTGTGACTCATGTTTTTTATTCATTTTCTAAAGACACGCTATACTGTCCGGTACGTTTGCTCATCCTGCTTGATAATTGTAATTTCCTTGTTTATTGTACTAAATTAATCGTTTTCTTTTTGTTTAGAAACAGATAAAGTTTAAAACCGAATTGTCTTCTGTTAACTATAGTTTCACTCTGGATTCTGTCATCGGCGGTATTTGCGTTTACGTTTTAGAATTACATCTGTAGGACAAATTAAATCCTACACCATGTTTCACAGCCATAACGTAGGACGGAGCGAACTATTGCACAGTACACTCGTCCTTTAGTCAGCAACGGATATCGCGCCTACGCCATAAGTGACACAGGTTGGCAAAAGCCAATCTAGCCTTCTGTATTCGTGCTGATATTTCGTCAGTCAATAGACCATCAGCACTGATGAGACTCCCCAGATAAGTGAAGCGGGCTATACGTTCAACTGCTTCACTCCCTATCACTAGTTCAGGTGCTGATACAAGCCAATCTTGAAGCTACATTTTGCATTTCGACAGAGATAATCACATCCCGAACATGCTTGCATTAATGCTTAGGGTAGTCACGAGACACTGCATTTTGTCAACGTGTTCATCAAGTAGAACTATGTCATCGGCATATTCTAAGTCAAGCAGTGAATCTCCTGGTAGAAGGTTCACTCCTGAAAGGTCAGACAAAGATTATGTTATATCTATGACGTAAATAAACAAGAATGGAGAGAGTGGACATCCTTGACGGACACCACTTGAAAGGTAGAATTCCGATGACAGTTCGCAATAAGCTCTCACTCGACCTGTAGTGTTCGAGTAGAGAGCTTCTACAAGGTTAATTTACTTCATTGATTTACGCTGACTAATAGCAAGCAATTTAAATTGTTCAGTACAATATGCGATGGGATGTAGTAACATTTGAGTAACACTGAAGTACTCATTATTTTTTTTGAGTCGTTAAATCACAGTAGTTTAATATTGTATAGAATAAAGAAAACAAGTATTTGCTTAACTTACCACCGCCCATTGATATGAAATACTGTTCAAGATTATCACAGTCTAATTTAGTACGACAGAAAATAAGTGCACGATCCATATTTTGTTGTTTAATTGCACGAATAACATATTCACCTTTGAGTAATTTAATAGCTTCTGACAAAAGCTCTAAATGAAGTAAACACATTATTAGCATAAATATTATTATTATGTTTTTTAAATTTACATACGAAGATTGGAAAAGTTGATAAAAAACTTAGAATATACATATATATACTAATTGTGTTACAAGATGGGATGCAGTTTCATCTACCAAACTATCATGGATAAAATGAAGCATCGTCAAATTTCAAGAACATAGATGAATGAAACATTAAATGAGTTTGAACATCTTAGCAGAATTTTTTGAATTATGATTTATTCCTAATTTATATATATATATATGCTACTCGAATCGTTTACGTCAACTGTTCTCTATTATGAGCAAGAAAATTGATCATAATAGTAGTAGTTTACCCGGATCTGAATAGTTCATTTTTTTGACAAGTGAGTCGTACATATCACCAATTCTTTACATGTACGCACACATGAAATGTTGCTAAAATACATACATGAGAAATTAGTTTATTTATTGCATTTTACAATCTTCACAACCTCGTAATGCAAATTACCTGTGCTCACTAGTGACTAGCTTCGTGAGGAATCTTCTCCGAGTTCTAGTGGGAAGACGTGACCAGTGAAGTTCAACCTGTTCGGGTGTAGACAGTAACTACTACCGAAGACTGTGTATGAGGTTGCGCAACTCCGTGAATTTGATCAAGTTAGACATTAACACCGTTAGATACCGGCTCAGTGGTCTAACGGTTAGGGCGTTCGTGCACAGTACCGAAGGTCCCGGGTTCGCATCCTGCGAGGTGTAGGAGTCGTGGATGCGCACTGCTGAGGAGTCCTATACCAGGACGAAACGGCCGTCCAGTGCTTCCAGGTTTCTAATGGTGGTCTAACATTGATCGATTCATGGTTTCAAATGTGTAAAAAATAATACACTTAATCCTTAAACTCATTGAATTAACTTGTGTATCTTCCATGTCAACGTTAATTTTACTGGTCAAATGGCATTAATGCTTTATTGTCATTTTGTTATACTTGAAAAAATAAAAAGCCCACACTACTTTATTTCACAATAATATTTACCTGGTGTATTTGAACTAGGATTAAGTTGATCTTTCATGTGAACACCATCTGTTTGTATATGTTTATTGGATTTCATTAATTCTTTCCATGAAATATCATTAGTAGGATCAATAAGGCAAACCTAAATATGATAAGGTCAATGTTTTTTTATTATATATATATATATATATATATATATATATACAAGGATTTATCCAAGATGAAATGTTACTTCTACAAAGAATATTACCAAATGTAAGAAAAAATTGTATACTGTTTAAATAATTGCATAAAATAACCAAGAATTTACAATAAATATTTGACTGTGCAAACATTTCTCTACTGTGTGTATAACACATATCAAGGTATATGAGGCTGGCTAATAAAAGTGTATAACATTGGAGTTTGAACACAAATCAATGTGTTTGTTATGTGCAATAAGCGTATACTAACTAACCAAATATTTACTACAAATAGTTTATGATATTTTGATCATTTCCAATTTAAAGTGTTTATAATGTCAAATAATCACTGATATTAATGCTACTACTACTACTACTACTAGTGAACAGCCTTGTTATAAGATTTATTATTTGTGTTAATGGCAAATTGAAAAAAAGTTGTCAGTTTATATGAAACTGACAACAAGATAAAAGGCAAACTATGAAAAAAATATTTTTTTTAAAAAAAAAGATGATTTGATGTGAATTTGTTAAATATTTTTTAGTTTATTTGATCTAATCAAACAAAATCCCACTAATATCATAACAATATTTTGGAAATATTTGAAAAGCAGTTCACAATAATAATAATATAGATAAATGTTACAGCATTTAAGTAGTATTGTGAACTTTAAATGAATTGCTTCACAATTATTGGGTATGAATGTAGAGATGATATGAAAAATCATATTTTGTTTGATTTTTGTGTCCGTTGTTTGACATCCCATTACAACCGAAAGATGTGAAAGTATTTTTTTAATGAATTATGTAAAATGAAGTCCAGTGGTTTGTCGCTAGTTACATTATATATGCATTAAGTGATCAGATGTTTTCAGTGTCAACAATTACAATAACAATTAATTTACCTGGATATAAACAACAACTACCTGGGCTATTATGTAATTACAACTGACGGTACAAAATTAAAAAAACCAATATTTTAAAAAACATGAACCGCATGAATATCACTTTACAACAGTTGTAGATACAAAGAAATGACTGATTTCAATTGAATCTGGATGCAGAAAAGTAAACTGAACTATCGATTCTTTACCTGATCTCCTTTATGAATGGTAATACTTACTATATTTTATGTCAAATACAGAACAGTCTATTGACAATTAGTTGACGACTGACTGAGTAGTGAATAATGTCAAGTCTTCTATAGTGCTGACCAAATTTTATTGATCGAATTGCAATGTGACTACTAGTATAGCTGATTCGACACCAAGGTCTACTAGGGTTCATCGTCGACCACCTTCTGAAACGCAACCTACGTTGAGGCATAAATTATACCAGACCCTATGTTGATAATTAGTGATTGATACAGACCAAACATTTTTATTTATGTGTGCTTCATATACCTTTATTAATAACATTCGGCAACTCTTTTCCTTCTAGCACTTTTTGTATTATTTTATATAGTGAGATAGAAATCATCTATTTTTTAACATAAAAATCAACACTTGTTTTTAAATAGAAATTTAGCTGTTACTTTTCTGGTCTGGAGTTTCACCAGAATGCTTGAAGATGATTCGGTTTTCGATAGTTGTGATTGAGTTGTTTACAATTTTGTGTTTGCGTATTTATTGTACCCAGAGGTAGGTGGTTCATCAATTTGGCCGCCGCTAAAACGCGTTTCTCTTACAAATTTTATTATTAAACTACCTTATTAATTTACAGATAACACAATCTTGAAGTACTTATACTGTAACAGTTGGAAATTTTCACTATTTTAACATATAACATTGTCTAATTTATTATGGCATACCTTACTTTGGCCTTTAAAAAATAAAACAATAATTATGGGCTTAAAACTGTAGAGCCTGATGATTAAGTCATTGAAAACAATTGTTCGCTCAAATATTCTGTCTTTGAATGTTTTATTTTTGATTCTATTTTTTACATATTTTATAAATATATTTATGTGCAATAGATTTTTGACTTAGTTTTATTGGTATCTATCCTGGGAGATAGCAAATCAATAGATGAAGTATTGAAGCTTCATCAGTCGAGGTGGTTGGGACATGTGTTACGAATGCCCAACCACCGACTGCCTAGATGAGCTATGTTTTGTGGTGTACGATTAGGTTGGAAGAAAGCTAGGGGCGCGGCCAGACCAAGACATGGCAGAAATCTATGAAGTCACTGACAACCAGACTGAGTCATGTTGGTAGATGTAGGCTACCTGCTTGGGGCTCTAGAGACGAAAGTCACTGATGGTTAGAGACCCTGAATGACATGACTTGGAATCGTTTGCAATGGCGCAGTTGCATCCACTCTTTGTGTTCTCTCAAATTCTAACATCCTGAATTCCTTATCATCCCTATCTTCCTCTTACTCAAGTTATCTCACTGAATTAAACTTCTCGAATCATATCTTTGCTCCCTAATCTTCTCCATTACTTCTAATACTTCTACTATCGCTACCAGTATCGGGTTTGAACTGACCATTGCGTCCTTGTGCTAATGTGGTATGGCAACATGAACAGATATACTTACGTATGAAGTTCTACGTTGTAACTGACTGACTAACTTTATTGGCATCGCAAAGACATTCTTCAAAAAATAGTCCACTTTGAGATTATGTGAAACAAGATATTTATGCTGATTGGTTATGCTGATCACAAAAACTTTGCCTGTATCATCAAAATATCCTTAAGTTATGTTTATAATTCCCTATAAACTTTAATTGCTTCTAAAGATAAATAAGAAAATGTCAAATTTTGTCCCATAATAAGTGTTTATAGTTCGACTTTCAACCCAACTATTCATTTGATGTAATTATACTATTACTAATTCAGCAAGAGGACCAAGTGGCAGTATATCGTAAAATAACTTTAGCCATATATCAAGCTAATGTGAATACTATGGAAAATAACTAAATTACGGTGTAATTAGTTTTATTATTAATACATTGATTAAGATTGAAATTATTCACTTGGAAATGAGTGTACACATACTAAATCAAATAAAATGATCGTTAGCAATATCATCTTCTGGTTTAATATTATTTAAAATAAGAAATACTTAATAGTATAAACTTACTACATGATGTACTGTTTCTGGGACACTGTCTTGACCTTTCAGATCTATCCATACAGGAAAATGCATCAGTTTATTCTGAAGTTCAAATTAAATATGAAGAAAGAATCTTTTTTGATTGTAAAAGGGAAAAAAGATTGAACATTAGATAAGTCAATAGTAGAAATCTCACAGTATGAAAAAGGCCAGTATTTTCTTTGGTACTATGTTGAATGTCTGAAATCCTATCGAATTTTTACATCGTCTGTTTACGACATCAATGGGTGAACACATCAGCAGCTTGGTGATTAAAGAACTCAACTACCGACTGCTGCGAAACAGTTACGCACTTCTCACTCACTTTACTTATTTAGGTGAATCAAAGAAAGTTTGGTTGAAAGCCAGGTGCATAAATATAAGCTCGGTTATTATTCGGCATCAACAATTGGATTGTTATTAATTAGTGTGGTCAAAATAAGGTATTTTTAAAAGGCAGCATAAATCTCCGGATAAGTATGTACGTATCCAACTGGTTTCACAAATTGTTTTCAGTTTTTTAGTTAAATACGGTCTACGAGAGAAGAGGCCGAAGCTAGAATTTAACATAAATTTCGTTAATTTTAATCATCGACCGCACGATGCATGTAAGCTTCTTGTTTCCAAGCAAAATATCACCAAAAAATTTCTTGTTATTACCCAGTATGAGAGCATATCTTTTAGTATCTTTATGTAAAAGAGGAATTCATTTTCAATGGAGAATATTCAGTATTGATCGATAGACAGAATGCAATGATACTATGTGGTTGACCGATAGCTGCTGATGGAACAAAATTAGTGATGCAAGCCCTTGAAAAAAAGAGACCACAAGCCAGAGAAATGGATTTTTCTGTCGTAGTAGGTATGTATAAAATACTACCATAAAATGAACACGAACAGACGTTACAGACCATTGGAGGATATAGGTTTTGGAGGCTAACACTAAAATTGATTGACTCACAAATAGTATCCTTCATTTCTGACTGTCATTTTAATCTTTACATCAGATTAGGAACAAAACCATCAAATTGGGAGCTTTAAAAAATTTGAATCTTGTGAAATGTGACAAATGACTTAAAGAACTTTAAACTACTTATGAGTAGTTAAAATTCTCTAGTAAAATATTGTTCGATGGGCGGGAGTCACAAATCATAACACTATATTCTCAGTTCTAATAATGTCGGGAAGAAGTAATCTCTAAGATACAGTCATGAAGACAGAAAGCTTCTCGATAAGTTAATAAGTCATTACACTAATAAATGGATAAGCTTACGGCTAAACGTTTGACATCCATGGAATGAAGAGTTGCAGAACAAACAATCATTTGTAAACGATTTCCATCAGCAGTAGCCTTAGGTATTTGTTTGTGTATTCGAGAAACCATATCACCATAACCGGCAGACAGAAGACCATCACATTCATCCAAGACGAAAAAACGACAATTACTTAATAAAAGAGACTGTGTTGAAATTAGATCATCCAAACGTCCAGGAGTAGCCACAACAATATCAACCTGGAAATAATGAAAAAAAGGGCAAAAGGTTAATAATAACAAGCAGAACTGAAGGTATTGTAACTTAATTAGCTCAAGCGAATGACTGAGAAAACAATGTCAATTAGTGTTGATAAAATAAGAACATATTTAAGTTGTTACAAATGGAAATTGAAGAACTAAAAGTGAATGTTTGAGCACTCTTCGGTCTTAATTAGTCATTTCTACTCAGTCATACTATTTTGACTACACTTTTTGCACAAAACTGACAGTTTGTATTCTACTAGTTCATTATTCAACCGTTTTGTCGGCTCAAATAAATACTTCATCAAGAGCGTCGGCTAGGTTCATCGCCTGAGGTGTCGCTGTATTAGTTTATTAAACCATTTGTCTCGTTGTAACACCTTAGATTTGTTTAGACATAACTCTAATGACAAACTTTTGAGTAACTCAAATGAATAACACACAACAAAATAACTTGTGTAAATTATGTACGACATAGTTTACTTGTAAACTCCGCCAGTAGACCCTTCGGGGCTACTGCCGGTCCCAAGCCAGGATAAAGGAGGAGAGGTTGGATATGGGGTTAGCGCAGATGCAACACAACATGCACCAACAAAATCACTCTTGATGGAGATGCCTTGGAGGACGTTAACACCTTTACATATCTGGGCAGCATCATCGACAACCAAGGTGGATCCGATGCAGATGTGAGAGCACGGATTGGCAAAGCAAGGGCTGCATTTCTACGGTTGAAAAATATCTGGAACTCCAAACAACTTTCAACCAAAACCAAAATCAGGATTTTCAATACAAATGTCAAGACAGTTCTACTGTATGGAGCGGAAACTTGGAGAACTACGAAAGCCATAATCCAGAAGATACAAGTGTTTATTAACAGTTGTCTACGCAAAATACTTCGGACTCGTTGGCCAAACACCATCAGCAACAACGTACTGTGGGAGAAAACAAGTCAGATTCCAGTGGAGGAGGAAATGAGGAAGAAGCGGTGGAAGTGGATAGGACACTCACTACGAAAAGCACCTAACTGCGTCACGAAATAAGCCTTCACATGGAACCGTCAAGGCAAAAGGAAAAGAGGAAGGCCAAGGAACACATTACGCTGAGAAGTAGAGAAAGATATGAGAGGAATGAACAAAAATTGGACAGAACTGGAGACGGAAGCCCAGGACAGAGTTGGTTGGAGAAAACTGGTGAGCGGCCTATGCTCCATTGGGGGTAACAGGCGTAAGTAAGTAAGTAAGTAGTTTACTTGTAGCAAAGATAAAATAAATATTACATACATAGATGATATTTCTTTTTGGCGTATATTTATCAATTATTATTTTCTTTAAAAACCGTAAGAGATCATGAAATTACCCCAGCATTTAATTCATCCAATTGTTGTTTACTGTTGGCACCGCCAATTAGTAAACATTCACGAGGACATGGATCTTTTAAATAACGTTTAAATTTTTTAATCTGTTCATAAGTTTGTTCTGCTAGTTCACGAGAAGGCTATAGAGAAAATACAAAAAATTAATTTACATAATCAGTGATACATCAGAAGTTCAGTTCATACCTACGTCATTTGAGACCAACATTGTATCAACTATAAATAACAACCTGAAAGACTTAAAAAAGGTTTTAACAACCAATTATCCTAGGGAACAATTGCAATCTAAACTGTCTATTTACTCAATAATTGTTGAAACATGTTAAAACGTATGCAGGCTAGATTAAACAATTTGGGAATATCTGAAATGAGAAAGCGAAATTCTTATTATAGAGTTGGTTTTACTGCTTATAAGAAACTCTGAAATTTTGTGTATTGATCAACTTTATTAGTCCTCCTCAAATGTTCAATGAACCCTACTTAACGAACAATTTTGAAGAGAAATCCGTGAAGATTTTATACGATTCGAAGCAACAGAATAATGATAATCTTGAGAATGGAATAGATAGTGCCACTGAAACTGCATTACGTATGATACGGATTGGATTACAGAAGCATGTTTATGTATCATTTTGAGTAACTCATCATTCAAAATGCTAATTAAGTTAATTTTTATTTGGAAAACCTGATCAAAGCAAGTGTAAGTTATTAATATTGCCGTTTTGAAAAGAATCTGTTCTAGAATGATCAGATAAATAACGCTTCAAGAATTATAACTTCAGTCTTTTTATATGAACGGAATCAATGTTCCAATCGTAGAAATAGATAACCTAATTTAAACAGATGAATGAAACTGAGAGGTAGTGCTTTAATCAAAACATGGATGCATAGATCATGCGACTAACAAGTCACATGGTCGGATATGTTAAATGTACGTCGTACAAACAATCTTTTTATTTTCGACGTATTTTCAAATAATTGGATATGACTGTTGGCCAGATCTATTTTTCACTGATATTTGTGAAATATCTATTCAGTAAGACAGATATCATTTGTCAGATTTTTATTTGGTTTGTGAATCCCTTGAACAACATGGCTCAGAATCGTTTGCGATGGCGTAGGTGCATCCACTCTTTGTGTTCTCTCTAATTCTAATTCCTCATAATCTCTATCTTTCTCCTTACAATTTTATTTCACTGAATTATACTTTTCCAATCATATCTTCGCTCCCTAATCTTCTCCATTGCTGCTAATACTTTTAATATAGCTATTACTGTTGGATTTGAACTGACAGTTGCGTCTCAGTGCTAATGTGGTATGGCAACCTGAACTTATGTACTTACGTACGAAGTTCTGCGTTGTATTTGTCTATCTGTCTGTCTGTCTGGTTTGTGAATCTTTCTGAAACTATCGATTTTGGATTGTTTTACATAGGACATTTAAGCGATTTAAATACCAAACACCGTTCTTTGATTTTGTAACTAGCTGGAAGAGATGGAGCGAATGAGTTGATGGTGTAGCATAGTTTAATGGAAGATAGTTGCTTCGATTTAGAACTTATTGGTGCCTTACGATTTTCTGTATGGCATTACAAACAAAATGTGGTTTATTAAGTGTTGAAAAGCATTACCAGAAATGGTTTAAAAGCAAAGTTAGGGACAATCTCAAGTTTCTGTTCAATGCAAACAAGACGTACATTTACGAGAAACGACATCGGAATAAAATATATAAACCAGTCTAAATAGTCAACCACTGATTCATATATATAAATGCTAACTAGTGATTTAGTTACGACCAGGGAAAAATCTTTAGCGTAAATTAAAAATAACTTATTTACCTCAATAATTAAAGCCAGTGGAGCATTTGGTCTAGGTTTGTTGACTGAAACACATGAGGTAGCTGAAAATTAAAAGAATGTTTCCAATAATAAGTATATTCTCACTATCTATTAAGTTTACACAGTGATTCCCAAGATTTACATAGATCTTTAGTCAACGAAAGTTCGATCTCTTTTCTTCAGCAAATGACTGACTGAGAAGGTAGGAAACGAAACTAGAGAAATTAGAAGCATTAGAAAGAAAGAAGCTATAGACAAAGATAACCAAAGCTCAAAAACAAGTGCTACAGAATGAGCGAAATTCTTTGATATCAAACCCTTTCACAGATAGTTAGTTGTTAGGAACATAGTCTATTCGTATACATCCTTCAATTGGTATTATGAGTCTCTAAGTGAATTACTTCTTCCGCCATCCTTAAAGTTGGTGCTTGCTAAAAATAAACGTTTGAGTGCAGTTATGGCAAGAGGTTATCATTATCTGTTCACTGGATATGGGAGAGTGGAAATTAGTCGATGTCCCTTTCAGTTTGATTTAATATACCTTCTTAAGTGTTAAAATCAATCGTTAAATTTATTGCGGCTAAGAACTTAGTTTTCTAGAGATCAAAAAGATTTCCAGTGATGGCATCTCCAAATTTATGAACTACAAAAAGGAGGACACAAAGAGAAATACTAGTTTCAAGATCGACCTTTCGTGATTTGTTTGCATGCAAGAAGATAGACTCGTTGAGCGTAGTGGTTATTAATGAGACACTCTATCATAATATTGACATTCCGAAACGCACATTTACCATTCTCTCTCTTTAATCGCACATACACAATACACTACTACCCCGGAACTTGGATTTTCTGTTATCGATCTTACTGATGGCCAAGTGAAGTAACCTCAGAAAACAAATGTTTCAAGCAATACGGCTTGACTGAGTAGTAGTGACAGACAGGCCCGACAAAAGTGTCTAGATGGCGAATACAGTCAGAAATGCAGCGTAAATATGCTTGATATGATAATGACGTACAAGTTGAACTCTTTTATCATAGTCTTGGAAAAATTCCTTGACATTTCCATATTTAATATGTATTCACTTTCAAATGTTTAAATCATTCGATTCATCCATATTTCATACTAAAATACTTGTAGAAAACCAAGAAGCAACTATAGACGATAAAAATTAGCCATGAAGGGCTTACCTTTAAAAGTAGTTTCAACACTGTTTGTTTCTGGACATTGACTAATGCTTATCCAACCATTTGGTGGTGGAAAATCAAATGCACTATCGCCAAAATTAAATCTTAACTCAGCATTTTTTAAACATACTGATGGAAACAATCCTTTAGAACGAAAAGGAGCTGGAATGTCATAAGCTTTTCCAAACATTTTACCTAATCAAAAATAAACAATAATCGATAATAATAATACTAAGTGAAGTAAAATAATGATCAAATCAACTGGCAGAAATGATAACTTGTAATGTTGAATTTTTACTAAATGTATGAATTTATTTACACTAGACGATTAGTACGCAATTATGAACTAATTAGGGTTCATAATTGTGAGAAACTCAATAATTTAAATGACATTTATTTAGTGCAACTTGACTAACTAATTAATCTGGTCCTAAAGTAAAAGTACATGATTACGAACCTGAAATAATATATCTACACATTATTTTTTTGAACTTCATTTTAAACTGTAAAGGAAATTTATCAGTACATATATTTTAAAGATTAAAAATCATGCTTAAGCAAGTTGAATTAATAACTGTAGGTTTTTCTCAATATTTGTTTGGAAGGATCTTCACATTCAAAATGAATTAACTAATTCTTTTGAAGTAGAACTAAGTTTAAAGATAAATAGAGATTTTTATAGAAATGATATACAGCCACAGAAATTTATATATGAATATAGAACAGCATAGGCGAACTGACAACAATGACCTATTTGTTCAGAGAGGATTACAAATGTATGGCCTAGTAATTTATCGTAATAAAAATTATTAAGTACTTTAAAAGTATTTTTGAATATCTGCTGTATATAAACGTAGTTTTTTTAGAATCGGATTACGAGATTCGTTGAAGATAAGTAAAGTGGAACATTAAAGAATGAGTTGTTACCGAAATAGTGAAAAATTGTTTCAGATAAACTGCCAAGTGTATTGTTACTATATTCGTAGTGTTAGATATATTCAGTAACTGTCTATAAAAAAGTTTAAGAATGATTAGAAAACGCAAGTTTAATCCAATTTATCAAAACAAATTAATTATCATTTACTTAACTGAGGCATACTAATTATTCAGAAGTAACAGATACTATCCGGCTGTTCTGAATGACAACAAGATGTTTCGTAAGACAAAATTGTCTATAATAATAAATGATAGCTAGTCAGGTGCAATAGAGCCTTGTTATTTTATACAATAACGTAATATCTACTGATCGTATATTACTTAGTTGTGGTGGGAAAATTCGGAAACAGAAAATAACGTAATCACAACAAAACACCTTACCAAAGTGACAGAGGAAACTTTAAAAATCTTTAAAATGAGGTCTGAGCTGGTAATCAACTAGCCAGTATGAATAATTAGATGCACTGTTGGCCAAACTGCGGAGTACTTTAAGAACGTTGAATTAATTTTATAAATTTCCTTATTAAAAGTCCACTTGAGATACGGACATTTATGTACGACCGTAATTAAATGCTAAGTTAATGTTCTGAAACACACTGTAGTTCAGAATTACTCTAAATGACTGTTAGAATAGTTGACAGAAGTTTGTCAAACTATATAGGAAAACTGGAGGATTTTTTCTATAGTCACTAGAGTATAACCTTTATTTGCATATCATTGTAAAGCGTTAAACTACATCAATAAATTTGCAGAACGTTTGGAAGTACAGTAAATTACGAAGCGTGTGAACACTATTTGTGTGAATAACTCAGTCTGTAGACGAGTTATAATACTGTGTAGTAATAAATTCGAATAATCAGTAGTACTAGACGGATACTATTGGTTTTGCAGAGTATAGGCAAATATTTCTAACAGTAGCATAGCACTTGTAATTATTATAGTCAACCATCTGTAGGATTAGGTAATTTATTGATAACTACAATTTTAAAAAGTAACCCACAGACTTCGAAAAGTTCCATACAAATATTAGTGGATAAAAACATTATGAGATAATAAGAATGTGAACTGACCATTTTTTGACCAACTTATGGATCCATTATCAAGATCAAGGAAACAGCCAATACTATCTCCTTTACCGAAGGCCTCACCATACGTATCGAACTGTCGACGATGTGACATTTTGCCAGTTCCACCAAAGCCAAAACTTTCAGCATCAGTCCCAACGTCATGTGACGCATTTAGGGTTGACCAGCCAACCCGACATAGTCCTTCGTCAGTTACGCGCGCCTCATAGTAATAACGACCTTTTTATGTTAAAATATTAGCCAATATGATGCTCATGTAAATAAGTTTTTACATTTACAAAAACTGAATTAATAATAAAACGAAAATGAGATGTGTGATTAAGCACTCTCGGAGAGTTAACATGCATCCACTCAAAACTGCATGGTACATAAAATCAGACAGAAGGTATAGGTCTAATTACATTTCAGGAAAATGTTGACAATTAAAGAGCTGAAACCTAAGTGTTTACATTTAGTACAACCCAGAAAATCTGGTACCGTTAAAGAATTGAAGGCAATTTAATGATGAAAATTGTCCTTATGACGATCTCATTTATTGAAGCTGTATAATTGCAGTTAAAACAAATATATTAGCCAGCTGGAAGATGTTGCACAACGATCAGATAACTTTTACCTCACTACTTTAGTAAGATGGAAATAATTCGTGGATCAAAAATGAGAGAATTGCATACTTGACAGACATGAGATGAAAGGTTTGGTGATAATAAAACCTAAATAATAATGAAAAACTTTAAAAGAATAATAATAGCCAGTTAGTCATTCTGAAAATATACCAGAAGGGGGTACTAGGACCATGAAAGAGTGGGAAATCGCAGGTGGTGCTTTGGAATGCAGAATTTAAGATTGAACTTCTGAATTAAAGCAGGAGGCAATATTTCATATTTCTGAAATATGAGTGGACAATTGTTCATTTAACAAAACTAAATACCTTTTTTTTTATTAAACTGTACAAACTACAAAAGTACCTCAGTACCTGAACCCTTTACTCCACGATTTGCTCTAGCTCCATGCCATCCACCTGGGTCACGACTTTGGCAAAGCAGCCCATTGCTATCAATAGCCATAGCGTCGGTGCGATCGTATACATTGAGCTTCATCTGGCCGCTTGGCTGCTTCGACATAACACTAGCTTTGTTCTAGTGAGAAATGAGGACCTTATTTAGATTGTACCTGTTTATTAGATTGAAAAAGCTTAAGTGTTTCATACACAATTTGAAGAACAGGCAAACAAAATGCTCCTGTTTTTCCACTCCCAGTTTCAGCGGCCATCAAAACATCACCTCCACCGAGGATCAAAGGGACGGCTTCACTTTGGATGTCGGTAGGTAAAATCCAGTCCATTTCTTGCACAGCCTTGGACAATTCGGGTAGAACACCCATTTCTAACAAATAATTAGGAAACACAAAATATGTAATTCCATATTTGGCATTTAAGAAGACTATATCGACGAGGTCCGAATTCATGACAGAACAATCAGGGGATAAAACCAACACTCCTCGTGATCGCTGTGATGGTTACAAATCTTCGATATAATCACAGCTTTCTCTACTAGGCATAATATTTTTGAGGAACAGCAATAGAACTGTTTGAACTCTTAGGCTCTTTTCTTTAAGAAAAAACGTGGTGACTAGTTCGTGAGACGATCCATTCAATTAATTGTCAGGTGACTGAAGTTATGGGAATTCTAAATACTAACCCTATAACTTCTCTGATACAAGATGGTGTACGTAATGAAAGGGGAACAATGGGTTATGTTCATATTATTTAGGACTGTGTTGTAGCGTAGCAAAACCTTCGACCTTCATAATATGATTAGAAGTCATATTACTAATGATCGCTATTCTATAGTGTCTTCAAAAATCGTGATTTTCATGTTCATATAAGTGGAGAGCTGGGACAGGATCATCGATGTAGCTAGGTAAAGATTATTGCAACCCACATTAGTCTAACAAACGCGAACGCAGGAAAAATTGAGTAAGACTGCAAATCACACCAATTAACCATATTTAGTCCGTTAGAGTAGAGCTCACGTACTCTAACAAAAACAACAGCGAGTTTTTATCTGTTAAATAACTTATTAGTTGGAAACCCTATCATAATTTACACACCTATTGTTCAGAAGAGAAAAATAAATTGATGACTTTGAATCATGACAAAAGTTATATCGCAAAAGTCGACAGACTAGCCGTGACCTTGAGTTTTTTTTAAGTGTTAAAGAATGTGAACTGGTTAGGAACTTATGGTACTCATATACCGTAACTACGATTGGATAATGCAGTTGATAAAGTAGTCAGAGAACGCAAGAAAACCGCATTAAAGCTGGATTTTGGAATAAATCTACAGTTCTTATCAAGGCAGACAAAAGTTACAAAATCTTGTCTTGCAGTTCTAATTTCCAAAGATTTCCGAGATTTTACAAATTCTCATGCAATATAATTGTTTAGATCAGCCTCACAACATTTCACATGACAAACGTTGAAAAACCCACGTGCAAAGATCTACTTTCAGTCTAAACGAGTTTCCAACAGCTTCAAACAGTATACTTATGATAAAATACTATATTAGTGTCGCTTTTTGCTACACAATGATGCCGAGGGAATTTTAATAAGTTCCAGCACAAATTTAGATACAGGATTGCAGAGTCCTACCGGTTTCAAATGCCGTAGCCATCACTTGGATTACAAGCCACTCGGTAGCGTTATCTTTTACAAAGCCCTCTATACGCGTTGCGTGATATGGACAAAAAGGCGTATGGTCTATTTTAGTCCTCTGCATTTTTGGTTCTGAAAGTGTTTTGTCTTCCCTTGGATGAGTTAAAAAATATTGCTGATACATCGGGTG